GTTTTTAAGCCGGTCGAATACTTTTTGAGTGCATAAGAAACAAATAAATAGATATACGAAATTTTATTTTCTTGTATATAATATATGTGCTATATACAGGATTTTCCATTTCAGGGATCTAAGTTTGCAGCGCTTTTTCAATATGATATGTCAAGCAGAATTAACATATTATCCAAGATGTGATATATTTAGTTAAATTGTTGAAGCACTTAAAGTGTTTTTGCCTTAAGACCGTATTGACTTTAGGATTTGCTTGTAAATTATTATTTTAATTTATACAGAGAGTCCATCCCATAAGCGGTCCATTTTTGTAATCTTTAGCTTAAGTTCATTTTGCTTTATTTTGATATGACAAAGATGTGACACGAATTATCAATTTTGTTAAAGATCTGGTGGCAGAAGATAATTGGTTTCGACAAGACGGCGACACAACCCACATATCACACAATCAGTTTTGTATTAGTTTTGTTGTGCTAGAAATTTCACGGACGTAGAATTTGACATTTGGATGATATGAATTTGTCTACCAAGTTCATGCGATATGTCAGCACTGAATTTTTTTTGTAGATTGACGAAATGATCATCTTTATCTGCAAAATTTTAAAACTCTACGATTTGGAAGTGAACTTCCATGAAATTAAGGGGGAGGTATTGCTTGTTATATGCCAACATGTCATAGTAAATTTTTTCAAAAACATGCCAGACAGCATGGGCAATACTAGTGTCCCATGGAGAACATTCGAATGTTATTCAATATCACATTTAACATGGATAACCCTATGTTATAATAATAATAATAGACATAATAAAAAGGGTGTAGTGTATTTAAAATGCACTAATAGTGCTTAAATAATCTAATCTTTATCGTATTTTTCTTATCGGTAGGAATAAGACTGTCCTCATATATTCATAAAATACAAGCTTAATATTTGCCTTTAAATTTTAAGTGTTTATATGTATTTAAAACTGTTATTTTACCATATGATGTTATCTATTAATAAATCCTTTTTTAATACAAAACAAACATCAACAAATAATTTTGTTTTCATATTCTATACATCATTTATTAGGTTACATGTTAATATAGTATGGTTAGTGATACCATAACATTCATTTAGATATTATAAATTCCTGTTTCGGTTAATAAATTGAAGGGTTCAAATTGTTAAGGCATTTAGCTTACTTCCTTGATTTGTGTTCTTCTTTTAAGTTGAGATTTTATTAATACTTTTTATCGGGAGTTTTATTATTGCATACTAAATGACAAGACCAACAGCAGAAACAATAACAACAATAATAAGAACAAGCACAACATAACTAAATATCGATGCACCTTACTTACTCATATAGAAATCTCTGTATGTGGACATGTATCTTTGACTAATTATAAACTTTTTTTGTATGTGTACCATTTTGATAAAATAAATGAAGAATAAACAACAAAAAAAAAACCAACTTGTGTTATATCGTTAATGTGTGCACACTTCAGTAAAAGGCAACAGCTTAACAGGCGACAGCGTCGAAGTAAGAGCTGAAGCCAGAAAACACCAAGCCCAAATGAAAAAATCAGTGCTTGGCTTACTCTTACTGCATGTAGATTTCTTCCAGACACACGTTGGGCCTAGTGGTAACAGTGCAGTGGCAGTAACAGGCAGTGTGTGCAGAATGCCAGAAGCTTTCTCAGCTTGTTGGTAGAGAATAACATAGTTGGTACTTTAGTCAGTCAACATATTGGCAGCATTTTGTGTTATTATGGCGGGTAAAATATTCTCACATAATTATTTACGATTCCACATTATCATTGCAAGAGCTACGTTTTTATTTGCTAAATTATTTATTAACTTTTTGTATTGGCATTGTTTTTGTTTGGCTGCTGTACGCTACTGCACAACTTCTGTTGTGCTTATATACGTCCGTATGAGCAAAAAAGTTGACAACAGCAACTAAAACAGCAGCAGCAACAGCATCATGTAAATATTTTCATTAGCTCATTATGTTGTTGTCTGCTTTTCTACTTTTTGGTTGACTTATGGGCACACATTGAATTTTAAGTGCAAACGCATGATGGGTAGTATTTTTATATGTGCGTTAATTACTTACCCAATAACAAAAAATTCTCCGTTCATATAACCATATATATTATCGATAGCTGAAGGCCACAGCAGCCAGAGCTATATCGATACAGGTTAGTATTAGTTTTATAAACTAAACTATCATTATTAATAAATAAATAAAAAATATATATAGGTACAGTCCAAGTTCACAAATTACAATTCTCTGAAATTTGAATTCTCCAGAAATTAGAATTGAAGTTTGTAAAACATTTAACGCTCTAAAATTAGACCTAAAAATTCTAATTTCTGGGTTTGTTTTATTTTTTGTATGGATTTATTTATGTTATTTCTGCTCTTTTAGCAGAAATAGATCTGAACATCTGAGCCATCTGCATAGAACATATTAAAAGATAGAATGAAGATATGCTTGATGACGGATCTGTATATGAACCCAGTAGTAATATTGAGTTTTCAGACAGAAGCGAATGAGTTATTGTTGAAGTCTTCAAACTCGACAGTAGAGGTGGAGAACTATCGATAGTCGGCACCATCGATAGTTTTTTCGAAAGCATCGATTACTATCGATAGTTTTCGATAGTATGTTAATTTCAATACAAATGTCCGTTTAATTCAAAAAATCATTTTTTTATTTTCAATTTCAAGTAAAATTTAATTAATAGTTATGAAACATTTCATTTAATTTTTGAAGATAATATTTTACATAAATTAAATAAAATAAAAATCCTAAATTTTATTTTTTATTTATTTATTTTCGACATTTTTGCTGTTTTAGTAACCAAAGATTTTTGATTAAAAATAACGTCATATTGATATTTTTTTGTTTTATTCGAGTGCGGCGTTCTGAAACTACTTGTTCAGCTTTACTGAACATGCGCTCGGACTTGACTGAAGTAGCGGGTACACAGAAATATATCATCATTACTATTAAATAGTAATTTAATGTGGACATGTTTATCTCCGTGATGTTTTAAGAATTAGAATTTAAAATTTACTTTACGCCATGGCATACTACAGATGCCAAAAGTGTGCTTTTTTTGTGAAGCGTTGCTATGACAAACTATCATAGACTACCGATAGTCTAACACTACCATCGTAGTAGTAAATCATCGATAGTGTCGATAGCACTATCGACACCAAAAAGTCAAACAAATACAACTGAGAATATACATATGTCACAGAAAGATTAGTTTTAAACTTGCCGATTGTGCCGTCTGCGTCTCCATTAACTTTCAATTAATTTCTTAGCTTTGAACATTATCGCAATTATTTTTACTTTTTTTAATACACTCCATTTTTATTAAATTATTTAAAAAAATATTATATGTACATGTAATATAATTGGAGTAAATCTTCATGTTTCGTTACATTTAGTTAAAAGAAATACAAGTTATATGTATTGCACTGGATTGTTTAGTTTCGTTTACTTATTTTTATTAAATAAAATAAAGGGAAAAAGAAGTCTATTGTGTTTTTGTTTTCAAAGAGTTTTTTAAATTTTTTATTTTTATTCAAATCAAAAAATTGTTCAGCAATTATAATTTTTCAAAAATTAGAATTACCTTAAAACAAAGTGGTTTTAATTTGCCAGCGTCGAATGTGGTTGGTTGATCAGTTGCAGTGGGAGGCCATTAGGTAACTTCCATGTATCTCAATTAGCGATTTTTCGCCGTTCTGCTACCACATTCCTCGGAAGAACCCTAGTGGACAAGAGTAGAGACTAAATCCATCCCGCCGAATTTAGGTAATTTAAAAGGTCTTTCGTTTTCACCGATGAACAGTCTGATAAACTATCATAGAAGTATTTTCCTAAGAACCTATATCTTCTGAACGCCAAAGCCGGGCATTCACAGAGAAAATGTACTATGGTTTCTTTCTCCTACGGGTTTTCACAACTTCTGCATGGAGGGTTATGGGGAATGTTTTTTGCACATTCTCTACAGTGTCGACTGTATATATAAAAATAAAATTATTAATTTGTTTTAAATAGAATAACACAATATTTTTTAACAAAAATCCTTAATCCTTTTGAAAGACTTCTCACATAGTAAACAGTTTTTTATTCATTTTTATTTGTTTAAACAAGAATTTAATTTCACACGCTAAATTTGAATGTATATTATATGTTTTTTTTGGTTATAAAATTATCGAAAGTGATAAAAAATTTAAAAAGAAATGTTAAGAATCATGCTGCACCTTTCCGCTCATTTTTTCGTATTCTTCATGCGTATCTAACAATACCAAATGTGATATTTTGCTTTTGCTGATGCGCCGCCGTCGCTGCCAAAAACTGATGCGATGATCCTTTTCGTTTTCGCTGTCATCTTTAAAATCGAAAACTAAAGTTTGCCTGCGTGCGTCTTGTACTTTTGTTTTGTTTTTGAGTTTCTACCCTTGTACCCTCCTCTATTTTGCATAAGTACACTGCTTTGCCGCAAAGCCTTTGCGCTTCTTATTAAGCTGACACTGACGCTCACGTAAACGTTGGCGCAGACGCACAGATAATTTCTTTATGCAGATTAGGTAAGGAATACGCCGGATTTTTTACTTCTGCTACGGTTAAGATTTTTTTTTTACTTTGCTTTTGATTTTTTTACATTTTATTTTATAAACTAATTTTTTTGTGTTTGCAAGACAGAAAGGGTTACAGTCCATTCGGTCCATTTTTTGCTCCTTTTTTTATAATTTTTTTAAGATATTTTTTATACAAAATGTAGAATTTAAATTTGTTTTTTTCTTATAATTTTTAAATGTTATGGGAAGCATTGAATTTTGTTGGTCTGGGATGATATTTTTTCTTCTACCAAAGGAAATAACTTGTTTTAAGCCCTTCATGCTTGCAAGTTTTAATATAAAACATTTAAGAGTTATATATGTCTATATATGCTCGGATAATTTAATTAACCTTTTTTTTTTGTAATTCTTTAGTGATTGCCACTTCAAGACCCAGCAATGAAGCAGAAGTTCAATTGTATCTTGTACTACAGCGAGCCAGTCTCTTGGCCTATTATGACACCTTACTAGAAATGGGAGGTGATGATGTACAACAATTATATGAAGCAGGCGAAGAGGAGTTTCTTGAGATTATGGCTTTAGTTGGTATGGCATCGAAACCGTTACATGTACGCAGATTACAGAAAGTCTTGCATGAATGGGCCAATAATCCAACACAATTTCAATCAGCTATATTAAGTGGTTCATCAAGTAAGATTTAAAATACTATATGCAATATCTTTATTATATATTACACTCTATAAATAGGTTTATGCGAGACACCCACAAAGCCCATAAATGCATATAATCCTGCCGAACCTTCAACCTCTTCATTAACACGCTGTAAGTTTCTCAACTACAATCCTACACCACCTTTTAATCCAACACCACTCATAAATACAGCACAAACAAGTTCCACAAATTTGCTCACGCAAATGTGTACACCCGCAATCACAGTACCAGTCATACAACCACATACACCATTATCCCTGCCTACAACTCCCACCACACATCAAACTACTGGTAGTACCGCACATCAGGTTACTTCCAGTTCGCCACAATTAACACCCGTGTTAACAGATGTACAAGTAACACATATCACACTTGGTGCAGAAAATATAGCACGTAAGTTACCGAAACGTGAACCACGTGCGCAGACTTCTAAAAAGCGTACAAGTCGCGAATTGGAACAAGTCATTGCTATGCAAGAAAGTGATCCAAGACGAATGGAGGAGATTCGTAAGTACTCAGCGATTTATGGTCGTTTCGATTGTAAGCGACGCCCTGAGAAACCCTTAACATTTCACGAAGTTTGCGTTAATGAGGCTGCCGCACAATTATGCCGTCTTGTGCCTGCACTTCTTACACGTCGTGATGAACTATTCCCCTTGGCGCGTCAAATAGTTAAAGATGCCGGTCTAGGACATTCTGCAAACATCTCAAGATACGGTGGTCTTTTACCACAAATGCAGGCACAAGCAGCAAACATACAGAGATCAACGGTAGTGGTTGATTGTGAATCAAGTGACTCTACAGTGCCAATAAAAAGACAGCGAGTGTCGTCCACTGAAACTAAGTCCTCTGCTGACTTAAGTCGGGTAAGAAATAAAGATTCAATGTAAGCTTTGCAACTGGAGGTGTGCCTAAATGCTTTTAAAATGCTTTTCGCTTTTCAGCAAATTATTTAATTTATGCTAATGTTTTTATTTTGCTTTACAGCTTCTTAGGGAAACTCAAAAAGAAAAATATTAACTATATTCGTATTTTGAAAGAATTCTCCCAGGTTGAATATGCATACAATAGGAAAATTAGAAAAATTTTATACGAAAAATAGGAAAAATTGAATAGCATCAAAGCTTAACATATATAGATTAGTTTCCGTCTATAAAATATAAATAATGTAAAAAGTATCAGAATTAAGAGAACTGACATTTATAAACTTTGTGTATCACATTAACCATATACAAATGTGCTGATTCAAATTTATTAGCAATTAAGATATATTATCCATACAAAACATATCTATTCTAATTATAGTTTAGGACCATTCTGACTGAACTTTTAAGTTCCATCTCTAAATTTATTGCAATGAAGACTAATTATTATAATACATATAGAATAAAAAAATAATATAGACTTGAGAACTGTGACTGTAGTTTCTTTTACTTCAGATAACTTCTGCTAGTATAGTAAACTAGCACTATTACTACATATAATGGTATTTTCAGTTCAATAGAATTATAATATAATTATAGATTCTTTTTAGTATAATTAATATTTCTCTTGTCAAGCAATACATATTACATATTTCTCTCAAGTCGGTTGGAATATAATTATGAATATATCATACTCAAAAAAAAATTTTTTGTTTCCTTGATTTGCAATCCGGATTACACCATATAAATGTTAAAACAAGAAGTCCTTCACATAATAGATACCAGTATTATAAAGCTACTTCCAAGTACCTTACTGATATTATTATAGTCGTTAATAATAATTTTACTGATTTACAGTAATTTTAAAATATTTTTTAAATATCATATAAAAATAAAGCACGTATTTTATAGTGGTATAGAGGATAGGTATAAGAAAGTAAGGTTCACACATAATATTTTGACGAATTTGTAAGGTTTTGGAAATTGGTGGATCAGGAAAAAATGGGTTATTGAATAATATTTATAAATGATGGGATAATCATTTAAATAATGTAACATATAAATAATAGTTGCTCTTTAAATTTTAATGGGGTATTTGGTAAATATTTTATTATTTACAAATATTTTCAATAATTTTTTTTATTTTTTTGACATTTTGAATTTTTTTTTTTGACAAATAATTTAATTTTTATTAAAATATTCAATTTTACCTATTTACTTTACATTTGCAGTTTTATTATAATTTTTTTTTTTTAAGTTTGTGTCATTTATTGCTTTTAAAAATATTTTTATTATTTTCTAACAATACCGTTTTTATTTTTTAATTTTTTTCTATTTTACATATTTTTATTTTTTTATTCGTTTTTAATTTAATAGTAATCAATTAATTTAATTTAATTTAATTTAGATTCAAATTATATTAAAAAGTTATTTTGTATAATTGTTAATTTGTATTTTGTTAATTTTATGTTAGTTTATTTGTTGTTATTACTTTTTATTGTTGGTATTGGATTGTTTCAAATAGTTTTATATTGAATATACATTTTTTATATTATAATGTTGTAATTATAAAGTAATCCTTATTTAGTTATATTTAATAAAAGTAGTAAATATCGTTGAAATTTTATATTGCTTTTTACATTTTTTTGCTGTTAATTTTAAGTTAATTATATATATGTTATATTTTGCTTCCAAATAGGTATTAACTTTATGTATTGCCATGTAAAAAATTGAAAAATAAATTTATTAAGTTTTTTTGAACCAAAACAAAATCTTGCGTATTTATTGCTTTCCTTGAGCTTGTAGCTAAACTAATAAAATAATTAAAATACATACAAAAAATAAATTTGTGTACAAAATTAAAGGAAACAACGGAAGACTCGCGTTACAATCTATTTGCCATGTATCAAAAATTTGCCAAACCTCCATTCGATCTAACGGATATAGCTAAATTTTCGTAAGTTCAATTAAGCTTACATACTGAATAAAAAACCAATTAATATTAAGATATTTTTAATATATTTTCAGTTTGAGTAGAACAGATTATGACGACAATGATTCGCGTTTCTCGTTTAGTAACTCGAGTTCACCATCTCTGCCAGTGAGTATGTGCTATGAATATTTTGACATATACTGATTATCAATATATATATTTTTTTTCTTTCATAGAACAATGGCATGGAAATTGATCGTGAACAAAATGAGCAAACGAAATTTTGTATGGACGAAGCACATAGCACAGCTTCACAAACCAGTACCTCCACAGATGTAAACCGTCAGAGCACACCGTCGAAACTATCCAGTAATCAGACCAAATTTGCTAACCGAAATACGGCAACAGAATGTACAACCATGAATACTTCACCGTTAGGTGGTGTGCAGGTCATTTCGTCCGCTGGCGGGCACATTATTGCAGTAGCAAATCCTGCTTTAGCACTGAGTCCAACACTTAATGAAGCATTAAGCTTAAAACGTGAATCAGATTCACCTGATTTATAATTCTGGATTATGATTGAAGGTTCATTTAAAGATAATGATTAAAATATTTAAATCGACTGAAATAAGCTACACGCATTTTCAAAAAGAAAATAAATTAAAAACAATCAGGATAACAATTATACTTGGTCTGAAGGCCCTAGTACCCATTACCTTAAATTAGGATATCGTTTCAAAAAAACAAATCCTAACTGGTAAATAAATATATGAAAAATAATTATATTTTCTACAATAATTTCTCATTAATACACTGTGCAATCTCAATAAAAAAATAAATTAATAAGATTTATTTCTAAGAAATACTAATATTAAATTTAATAAAAATGTATATATTTTTAAATATATACTAGATATTTATTTGTTACATACATCGTTAAATATATTTTTGATATTGTTATTAACTTAAAAAAGCAACTACCAATTTCTAAATAAAAATAAAAATAATCATATTTTTAAAAAACTAATTTTTTTATTTTTTAAATAATTTTAAAATTGTTTTTATAAATTTTTATCTGATGACATTACATTAAATTTTCCGTATATACTTTCTAATAATACTTTGACAGCTACGATACCATTATATTTTATAAATTGTTAGCTGAATATTAGCTTATTCGTAGTCGGATAAAGCAATTTCTGCTTGTGTAATGCTATATATTGGGTATTAGCTTTTTACAGCCTTAGGAAAACATTTTCCTTTTCATCATTAATAAAAATAATCTGTATTCCATTTTTCACAAAACTTTGACTAAAAATAATTAAAATTAAATTAATTAATTAAATAAATCAACAGAAATTTAAGTAAGTACAGTAAATTAAAGTAATATATAGTGTATATTATACCAAATACTGTTAGAAACGAATATCGGAAGCCTTATAAAATTCTGAATGCCAATAAATTAATTAAAATGATACAGATATTCTCAAATATGAAATAATCTCAAAATTTAAAATAATCTAAAAGAAAGAATCTGAAACATTTTTTATGTAATATGATATAGTGAATGGTCTTAAATCTAAAATTTACACAACACAGAAACCCTATCATGATAAAAACCCTAAATAACTATGACATTTAAATTTACATTTAAATTAAAGCCCTAGGATAATACACCGGACCTATAAGCAATCTACTACGACGCTACCATACCCTCTTATCTAATCTAACCTAATGATCATAAATGGCACTCTAATAAAATGTATAATACTCTAAGTATGGCTTGAAGTAAAGGGTCAAGAATTTTTTAATTTTGAGTCACAAATAAAATTATAAAGCATCGATTAACCTAGAATAGGTTAGGTTGAAGAGGCTGCCTTGTATACCAAGAAAGTCCACTTGAGCTCAAATAATGGCTCATTGTGGTAACACAGGAATAGCGTTGGTTCGTACATAAACTAAAAAAGCAGTATACGACTACCGTCAAAAAAGGTAACGACTCCTTCATTAGGAAAAGGTTAACCAACCTGACAATTCTATAAATCTAGCTGAGTCCCTAATATTGCAGGATGACAGCTCAGTCAGATCGGTATTAAAAGAAGCGCCTAAGATTTTTGATCTTCTCTTAGCTAAAGATAGGGACTAACACATGAGATGAAATACAGTTTCCTCCTTTTTCTCAGAGCCGCAGCCGCAACAAAGGTAATTATAGAAAAGCCTGATCTCATAGCATGCTTCCCTATTATGCAGTGTTTCGTCAGCACCGATATCGTAGTGTATATCGGTTATATACGTATAATCCATGTAATTTACGTTCATTGTATTTTAGAATGAGAAAATTAGGTTTTGATTAATTTATGGAGATCTGAAATACTTATCCCTAAATTTATTGGTCACGAAATGATCGATAGCTAAAACATAGTTTCTGTTATATTCTTAGTTATTCTTCTCCTTTTTTAATGGGTTTTACATTGTTAATTTAAAATCTGTTATTAGTTTTTGCACGTTTTCGAGATATCGTAATCTGTGAGAATTAAAAATACACTACAATAAATTCCAAAATAATATTTCAAATAGACTCAATATGGGAAAGACATCTAAAAAAACTTATTTTGGGCGATATCTCGAAAATTTGACGCAATAGGCAAAAAAGAATTATTAGTTCAAATTTTTAGTTTAATGCAGTCTTTAATTGAAGATAAAATTCAGAAAGTCTGCCGAAACTATCTCCAATAAAAAAAAACTTTTTTTGTGCTAGATGGTATATAGTATAGCATTGTCATATTGTCGATAAAGTAATACTTTCATTACTTATAAAGTGCTTGGCAAATAGAAAGAGTTTTTGCGATATAAAAATTTTGCTCAAAGGTCATATTAGTACATTTTTAAGAATTATGTTATATATATATGTATATATATTGAATATAACAAAAATAAAATAATAATATAAAATTTAATATATAGAAACTGTTTCGAATTATTCTATCACTAAATTAGAATAATAAAATCGAAAAATCATATATCGATATAAAAAAAACTTTCAAATAATATATTACATATATCTCTAAATAAAAAATAATACCAGCAACAAATAACATTTCAATAAGTTCCAAATGTTTTTGAAAAATTACCTTATTGCCAATATTACTTACGCCCTTTCTATTTAAATTGACACTCGATTATCGTCTATTGTTTTTTAATGATGTTGTGCCAACAGCGATTGTTAACAATCTCTTTGATTTAGAGGATTGCAATCTTCAGGTTAATGGGTATTGATTGTAGTTTTTCTTGTCATTGACTTATGCGGTGCTCTGTGTTCGCAAAAGTATCCGCAACCCTTATCAAGATCGGATTATCTATAAGCGGCTAATGGTTTTTCACTTTTGCGATCGAAAATGATCGTGTGCAACAATTTAAAATGCATAGTCACGTGGGTTTAGTGGTATGTTGAACAAATAAAATTGCATTGTAGTCTTCTTGATTCGCAAATTTGCATACTTTGTCTTTTTTTCTTTATCGATGATAACTTTATTGAAGCAAAAATATTTGACAACTATTTATATAGGGTTTTCATATACCATTTTCGATTATGCAAATATTTTTTGATAATGATTTTAGGTTATTGCCAATGTAATTTGCATGTTTAATATGCAAATTTGTATAGTTTCTTCATAATCTTTGAGAAACTGCAATTCCTTCTATATATATCTGTATTATTGCCACCCAAGTGCATATTATGAGATCATAAACAATCCTAACAAACGAGCTCCTTGACATAAATTGTCCGGATGAGAAAATTACTTACGATCTTTTTTAAGAACAAAAAAAAATTATTTACATCTTGCATAGAATTTTAATTTTATTCCTTATTGCATTTTAGTATATAAAATGATTTATGAACAGAGAAAATATTATAATCCTTTTTAACATTATTTGTTGAGTTCTTATCATTTACATTTCATACCACAGCTGTTGTAATTTGTTGTTCTAATAAAATTATTCCTTTATTGTGGTTATGTACCATGTGTCTTCAAATTTTGAAGCGCGGGAGTGCTTCAAGACGCGAGCGAAAGTATCAGCTTATGTCTCCGAAGGCATAAGTTGCCTTCAACACATTTCTATTGAATGAAAAGAAAAAGGATGCGGTTTGATTTTAATCTTGCTTTCTACGGATATTATCAAATGAGGAGCATATGCATGTCAACTCTGATTAAAATCAAGCGCATTTTAACTGAAGAACTACGATTATTTTCCATGTTCTACATTTGTAAAAAAGAAGGAATTATTTATTTGAATATCAAAACAATTTCTTTTTCTTTAATAAAAGAAAAAGAAAATTCAGATGATGGGTGAAGATTCATAATGAATGAGGATATCTATTATTTAGCAATACAAATTTAAGGTAACAGTTCGAGCTGAGTAAGTGAATAGTCACTCTCTCATTCGGTTTACTATAATCGTTCATATATTTCTTTGAACACTTACTATTCTTTTGTATATTATAACATTATAATTCAAATTTCTATTTAAATATAATTTAAGACTTTTCCAAAGGCTGTTATGGTAAATCAGTGGATTATATATAAACATAACGTATGCTACATAGTACGTTCAGGAATAGAAAAAAATTGCTTATTTTATAAATTAATTTTTGACCCAAACATAGAAGATATTTGTTTATTTTTATAAATTTTAATATCACACATTTTTATATCTATGACTAGCAATCTATGTCTATGACCAAAACTTAATCTTTGATTAAGAAATGGTAACAATCAAAATATATTTAAATTTTAATTAAGTGAATACTTGTACTGGCCGTAAAGGACTTGTACCGGCCATAAAGGTCTTGTACCAGCCATAGAGGTCTTGTACTGGCCATGAAGGTCTTTCGGATACTGCCAAATATCCATCAACAGTGGTCTTTAGAAATATCCCATGATGAGTAATTAAAACCCATATAAAAGTTTCCGTAATCTGCCGTAGTGGAATAGCCGTTATCAATCTGGTAAAAATGATTAGAACACAATCTTTGACTACTAGGTTGGCATATTCTATAATCACATTTCTATGCAAAAATTTTGGTCTTGTTGATTATCTTGTTCGACGCTCGCCATAAACATACTCGCCAAAGAGGATTATCGGTGTTCAAGCTGCAAAGACGAGATGTAACGAGCTAGTGGTGAAAAGCAGCAGCAGAGTTTTTGCAAATATATGGTACAATGTGTGAACTACTAATTTCAAAAATTTAAACTGCGTGTTAACACATCAAGCTATCGTTAGGTGTACTTCGCTTCCCGTTAATTAAATTTCATATTTCGCCAATCTTTGTTGTTTATTCTGTTCAGATATAGTATAAAAAATGTCTAAGTAACTTTTTGTTAGCACTTTTCTTCTCTTCTTATTTGGCACTACAGTCCAGTGTGAACCTTGGCCTCCCTAGAGGATTGCGTAGCGGTGAAATTTTTTCGATGCAAAATTGCTGATTTTGCGATCAAACTTCGACCTGGAGGGACAGATCTCTCCTTATTTGCTAACCTGGAGATAGGATTGGTGTTTAGTAGTTAGAGAATTTCCGCTCAACTACATGTTATTGTACTCGTGTACTCTCAACTACATGTACTCGGTCGCCACAGCCGCATATGTAAAAACAGGATGCGCAACGGGTAGCTGACGTTGACAAGCTATATATTCACATCATTACTCCATTGGGGTGTTACTTCACATCATTACACGCTTTTAAACCTTACATTTCTGCTAGCGCTTTTGGTGCTAAATAAAAAATTTATTTGCCAGCTAAAAGCAATTATAAAATTTTACGTTACATTCATGAACATTTTATTGCTTTTAGTCTTTTAGTATATGAGTGACTAAAATACATTAAGTTAAGTAGTCCATTATATCTGTTCACAATTAATAAAAAAATAAGTTTATTAAACAATAGATACAATTTGGTATCCATTTGAAATTGACCAGTATAGACTAAATTCATAACGCAATATATAAGCCCAATATCTCGATAAAGGAAGAATTAGCATTATGTGATCTACATTTTACTAATAGCAATGATTTTTTTTTATATAAACAACAATGCATACATTATAGTATTTATAAATATAATTTTAAAATCAATATAAATTGCCTAAATGATAATATTTTATTACTTAATTAATCTGGGCAAAAACTTGTTTTTAGTATTTCATTTGTAGAAAAATATGTTAAATAATACTGATATATATTTTCATATTCTAAAAACATTTACCTTAGTTATGATAAGTGATTTTTTTTCTTTTGGTCTTGAGATCACTCCAGGGTAGATACTATACTTCAGTATTTTGTATTTGCTTTTGTCACTCCTTTTTTTTGACTTAGTGTGGATCATTTTTTATAGCCAAGAGTACTGTTATGTATTCTCTATAAGTTTCATTAATTATGCACCCAAAACATAAATTACCACTGTGATCGATTGAGTAGTGAGCCCTTCTTATGTGTGATCCTAATTTGAATACAAAATTTCAGCGGCTAAGGATGCGGCTGGCATAAATTTTAAGGATTATTGTGTGAACGTCATGAGAATAAAAGCGACATTCTTAAGCAAACAAAAAAAAAAGGAATCAATATTTGATATAGTTAATTGATATTTGAGACATGAACACTGTAAATATGGTTTAACTGATAATAGAAAATATTGCTATTATTATTTTCTTATAAATGAGTAACAAAAAAGTAATAAATAAATTTTGTTAAGACCTTATTTTTTATTTAAATAAAATATAAAATGGTAAAAAAAATTTTAGATAATATTAAAATAAAAATATGATTTAATTTTCTCAAGGAAGTCATATATTCTTAAATACTTTCGAATTATTTATTGCTATGATTATATATTTAAATAAATATTATACAAAGAATATTAAATTTGGAGAAATGGAAGACGTTTACATTGTACATATTTCACATATTTGTTTATTAGCTTTTTATATATATTTATAAATACGATATCTCTAAAATTTGTGGTTATTAATATATAATTTTGTTTTTAAATTTTTATGTTAATATAAAAAATACATTAAAGAATTTATTGTCAAAACTAGTGTTCGGAAATATATTGGTAAGAAAATGAATTAAATTTGATTTATCTTACCATAGAAAGTAAACTAAAAGCAACCAAAATAAATTATATCGGTAGATATAATATATAAAAAATATTATACAAAAACTTTTATACACATACTTTCGTATGTATTTTCGCTTTACATGCTAGCTATTTGATCTGTTATCCAGTCCATATAATGTTGTGTACTTGTATAAACTGCAGGTATACCAATTCTGCCACATCCAATACCGTAAGAAACTATACCAATTAAATAATAACGTGTTACCCCTTTATATGGCTAAAATAATAAAAAAAACAAAATCAAGTTTATTTTAAAATATTTGAAATTTTTTAATTACTTCAGGCATCATGAGAGGTCCACCAGAATCACCTTGACAAGTATCTTCACCACCAACTAAGTTACCAGCACATATTACTGAATCGTCAAATTGTTGATTAGATCGGAGATAATTTAATCTTTTGTAAGTATTTAAACAAACAGAGTTGTCTTGTACTGGAAGTTGTAGTTCTTTTAAAACATTAGAACTACTACCCCTTTCCATTGTCCGACCCCAGCCAGCAACGAATGGATTACTCTTGACATAAGATTTGTTGCGTAAAGTATTTGAAATAGGCAAGCAAATGGCCTGAATCAAATCTTTATATTTAAAAATTTATTAAAATATTAATTACTTATTAAAAGAGGTTACCTGTGAAATCAACGTTTTTTACTAATAAAAGCACAGCTATATCGAAGCGAAAATCATTTCTTGTAAAGTTTGGATGACCGACTACCTATTGAAAAAGCCATTAAAATAGTTACTCGTTTCAAATTTATGATTTTATATAAAAATAAACTAAATAATTTTTTGTATTAAATAAAATATTCGTATATAAATTATATAATCATATTCCACAATATACTAATTTTTACCTTATCGACATCTACATCCAAATGCTTTGTCTCGGATTGTGTACTCAAATCATGCTCACCTAAGCGTACAAATGATCTAAAAAATGGTTAAAATATATTATACATATAGTATTAATGTTCTTTTATCCCTAAGAGATTTTTGTTAATAGATAACTGTTAGCACGATTATTTAAAACGAAACTGACAGATCATTTAACGAGTTAAAATCAATATGTTAGCACACAGCAGAAATAACTAGACAACCTATGTAGAAACTAATTACACCTCTATGAATGGAATATTATTTCTCAGAAGCTGACAGACTTTATATAAGTGTAGCATAATTAATTTAAATTTGTTAATTTAAGAAACCTATATTATTTGCATTGCTGGTCAATTACAGTAATAATATTAAACTTTTTTAATTGGAATGAAAATGAGAAAACACAGTTATATATCTATCTGGTATATTTATTTGTAATGATATTACAGCTGCCTTTGTTGCTATCGAAATCTGTAAGAATGTGATTAGCGGTGAATGAGGGCAAACCGAAATATATATCGGCTACTGATACAAATGTGCACCGCTCGAACGCCGAGCTTGTGGCTGGCGACTATACTTCCGGATATGTCAAGCATTTCATCTATCTTGACATTGCCGTAATAAACAACAATGATGTCAGTCTGGAAATCAACGAAGAATTACCATTGCTAATAGGTGCTACTATGGGTTCAGTAGGCAATTGGGGTGAAGAGCTCTCTCTTGACAAACGAAATTTATGGTCCCTTATTCTTAACTAAAAGACAAACTATAGGTCCCTCATCCTTACTGTGCTTCTGTATGGTGCAAAAGCATAGACGTTATCACTGAATGATAAAGCAGTATTGAGATAGTATTCGAGAAAAAAGTTCTTCGTAAGATATTTGGTCCTCTATGAGTTGGCGACAACTACCACATAAGAATGAACCATACGAGGTTTATCACGTCATTTATATAATTCAACGAATTAATATTCAGCGGCTTCGCTGACAGCCATGTCATGAAAATGGATGAAGTATGCTCCAGCGAAAAAGGTATTTAAAGCAGTAGTTGGAGGAAGAGGGCGTAGAGGTAGACCGTGTCTCCGGTGAAGTGATCAAGTTGAGAAATCACTAACCGAACTTGTGCGAGACTGGAGAAGGCGGGTACACAACAGAGGCGGTAATGGGTTATTATAACTAAATAACAACTATGTCTATTTGTAAACAATTTTTAAAAAATCGAGACTTACAGTGCTATAAACACTGATGTCCTGAAAGCTTTGTAGCTATTTATAAATTTACATATATACATCGTATAGATGGTTTTAGTGAGTTCAAATTTTATACGATGGCTTTCGATGCTTTTCACCAATAAGAAGAAAAATTAAAAAAAATATTTGTTTATGACTTTATGGTATAAACAAATGATTCTTTCAGCAATTAGCACATATTTTAGTTTTTATAAATTATATCAATGAAACTTAAGCAAATTATTATAGATCCCTAACATTTGCTATTGAATTAATAACTGTCGTTATTGTGAAGAGTTTTACTATTTTTTTCTTTGACTTACAGATCTCGAGTAATACAATGCGCTGCTGTTATGACATGTTTTGCGGTAACTAAACTTCCACCACAACGAAACGGATTCAAACTATAAGCATTATAACCAATTAACGCTATCCAAGGCCAATCACCAATTTCGCTTTCTCTACCTCCAACGATTTTACCAGTTGCTTGACGTACAAAACCACAACCCTCATCTTCAGTTGGCAAACGTCGCGGCGTCTCACCGGTATTTACTGCTCTCGATTTACTATTAGTTACAGGGCAGCAAACATTCATGTCTTTTGAACCGCAAATTGTATTCGATGATCTTAGTTCAGATTTCAAATTTTCATCATTTGGAGTGGCTCTAATGCGATCCAATAAGTTTGTACAATTATGTATAGCTAAAAAAGAATAACACCATTTTCTTAAATGTAATTTATAATATAAATGTATAATGGTACTTACATATACAAAATCCAATATCTCCTGTTGGTCCTTGACAAACATTATCAGATCCTTCACTTCGTGGCGTTGTGTGACTCAATATTTTTGCCTCATCTATTTTTTCAGTTGTAGACGAGGGTAGAGTAAATGTATCTCTATCTGGGTTTTGTCTTGGGTTGTTATTATTATTATTAGGTATACCTGCATGTATTTCTGTACAACAAACCTACAAAATACAAAATTGATTATATCAATCAATAAAAATCTTTTATACTCTTACAATTGGGTAATTATCGAAAGAGATGCGATTACCACAACTGCGCTGCAATTCTTTGGAATATTGTGTGGCAGTATTTTGTGGCATTCTTGTGAAAAGATTTACTACTTGTGGGCATAACTTAAGTGATGTACATATGCCAATATCTCCCGACGGTGTGTAACAGCCATTTAAATGCACTTCAAAATAAATTATTGTAGTTATATAATAGATATTTATAGTTTAGATTTATAAAAAAATCCAAGTTCATTTATATATGCACTGCAGATGTGTTACTAATCAAATAGTTAATATATACAAAATTCGATATGACGTTTACCTTGACTTGTAACAAATCGTTTTGTAAATACAAAAATCACACACAATATTAGATTTAATAATTTCATTGTAATCATTAATTTATTAACTTTTTATATAATTAGTATTTCAATTAAAAAAAATTATCTCTACTCCATCAAGAACCGTTTAGATAGAGAGCTAAAACTTAACTAGCACCCCTTACTCATTGATTAAATTTCTAACATGCAGCATCTGAGATTTGCATCTCTGCTTAATGTTTTAAAAAACTTGTTCCGGTTGCAATATGACTATCGGTAGTTTCCGTATATAAACATATTAAATAATTCTGCATCAAAGCCTAATACTCTCTGAGTTGACATTTAAGAGATATGTCAATATTCCATAATATGACTAAAACAACTGTAAGATTATATAGTTAGTAAAAAATAATTTTCTTTAGAAACTAAATAAATAAATTAGACAGCTTAATTGTTAATAAAGACTTTAAAAATATTTTTTAGAAATGGAAAACACTGTTTATAATCAATTTTATGTGACATAACAAAAAATCTATTTTGTATAGAAAAGGGGATAATAGTGGGAAAAGTAAGTTTTTAATGAAATGAATAAATTTTTAGCTGACCATTAATATCAAATTTTTTTTACTATTAAATTAATTATGTGTTATCTATTCTATAAGTTTCTGATGAAAAACCAATTTAATAACATATATATAAATTTTATCCAGGCTAATTATCATTAAAATTAATTGTAAAATGTATTTACAGAAAATGTCAACTAATTAACCAGAATTAACCATTTTAAATTAAACATAATAACAACTGGTATCTTAAATTAAATGTGCATAAATGCACCTGAATCATTTAAATTTGCTAAATCATCGCCTTCCGATATATAGGTACTTATAGATATTTAATTTGAAAGCCTTATCATATACTATGATTTCTACCATGCTATCTATTTTGTTCTAATCTGCTTATTATCACTTCTCATCTCTAATCTTTTTAACCTTATAACTCAATATTAATTATTTATGTTAATAATTAATAAATTATTATTATAAATTTTCTTATTTTATTAATAGTTGTAATAATTTATTAATTAATTAATATTTATTTTATTAATATAATACTTTTATTACAATCTTACTGTCTTTATTAAACATTTTTGAATTTCACTAATCAAATAAAACCCACTGTACTATTAAATAGATTCAATAATAACTATTAATTAGACTTATGTACGTATAGTGTAAAACAGCATCACCAAACGGAATACAATATACGTCACTACTAATAACGAAACAAAAATATTATTTATGTGCATTTATTACATTCTTTGTAAAGAATAATAGTTTTTTAATGTATCTCAGTGAGAATAAAAATCACATTCAATAAGAAAAACCCGCATTGCTATTTAACTAGAAAATATTTGTAAATTAAAGTAATAAAAATTTTATTGTATAATATCAAAAAAATAAATACATCTTCTATAATAATAATAATATTTATTGATTTAATTTGTAATTCATATTTTAAAACCATTTAAACTATTCGAAGAGATGGTATATTGCGTTTGCTAAAATGTTTGTCACAGGTATCCATATATATATATTATATCTACATGTATTGTAAATGTTCTAAATAACAAAATATAACAATATGTTAAGTGATGTTGATTATCTCTCTATACTCGTAAATCTATGTATCTATCTATATCAGTCTATCTTTTGGTCTGCCCGTCCATCCTGAACTCATACAAAATAGTCTTCTGATACGAACTGCTACAGTACCAGTAGTTCTGACTTATTACAAAATTGTGAGTTTAAGTTGAATAGTATTGGATACTTATCTAAGTCGAAATTTATAACGAATTGTTGTTCTCTCTATTTCCTGCATCTAAAAGACTTGATATATACTTGATATAAAAAAATTATCCGATTAAATAAATAGTAATCAACAGGTAATAGTTTGATCGCAGTTTAATAAGAGAAGGCATTATTTTCGCCAAACACATCAGACTACCGCATTCGAAAAGTATGTCATTTTAAATACGACTATACGGAGACGTTCCTAATTGCATATTGAAGAAATTTCCAGTAATATAGTAATTATTTAATTAATGAAATAATATATGATTTATTTTAGTTGCTTAATTTATATCATAGAATTCAAATTGAAATTATTTCTTTCTGGTTCAATAAAGATAAATATATCGGTTCAGTTCCAGTTTTTAGTGCAGTTCCGAATATTTTTGTTTTCTATAAAATTTTTTTTTTGTCATTACAAAACTATTTCATTCATTCTTTAAAAAGGAATAGTTCACTTAAGTAGCTATTTTTTTAAGTTTCATTTTCTAACTATTATTGGGTTTCGGTTTGAAGCAGTACTTCTCTTCAAGCAACTTTGTTGCTTGCATACGTTCCCTAATCTCGTATATTTAATGGAGTTATTGCATACGATCTTTAAATCTTCTTTCTTCAACTACTTCAGCTTTTCCGCAGTATTTTCCATGCTCTCAACTTGGTTAAACTATCGAAACCGCCAGATGTGAATACGCTGATTGAGTATGCATAAATAATTTCAATTCTTAACCAAACTAAATCCTTTTAAAGCGATTTTTTGGTTCAGCTCTAGGTTTTGTTCAGGCAATAAGGTTTCTTCCCATTTTCGATTAATGGTTCAGTTTCGTTCTCCTTTAGCAGAACAGAGTTGAGGTTGCTAGTGGGATATCTAACGGGTCACCATGGGCTACGTTACCACCTCAACAAAATGGGCCTATCCGAAGAGATAGATTGTAGACTCTGCTTGGAGGCAGATGAGACAACCAGCCACATTCTATGTGACTGCCCAGCTTTGATCTGGGCCAGGAGGAGATCACTGGGTCGGGAACTACTAGCACCTTCCGACATTAGGAGATCCTCAACAACCGACATTCTGGCCTTCATTCGAAAGGCGGAATGTCTTTTGTTCAGTTAGGGTCTGTTGTAGCACAAAAGATCAATCATGGTCGCGGTGCTCTGCTCAAATGGGAGCTAATACCCTGTTCTTTCTTATCTATCTTCGTTTCAAAAACCAAATACATACTGTAACATAAACATTGTTTAATATAAAAACCATTATATTATGTTATGTAATTTTATTCTATATAAAAAAGATCTAATTTATTATGAATTGTTGCAACTTGCAATTATTTCAAGAACTTAAGTTCTTTTTCACTTGCACCTTTTATACCAGAGTATTTCCTTAATGCAATCCTTAAGTTCTAGAATTGATTCGTTCGAATCAAAAACAAAAAAATGTTTCTAAAGAAAGGTCTATACAAAACAACTTTCAATTCTCAATATCCCAAAAGCTAAATGTAGGTTAAATCTTATATCCATTCAACATGCTTTACTATATATAAACTTGGTTCAAAATCATATGTTTTCTTACTTTTTTTTTTGAGAATTTAACATATTTTTCGTAGAAAAAACCATTTATTATTTTGATCATACTTTCCTGCAAAAATTACATTCTAAAAACTTATCAGAAGTTTCCTTAGAAATCATACAATTTTTCCAAAATCCTTAGATCACATGTACTTCTCCAACATTTTTATATATACCTATATATAGAAACCAAGAATTTAGAAAAATTATGTCTATAACTTCTGTTATCAGTAATTAAAAGTCATTTTTACTTTTCTAATTACATAAAATAATTTAAAAACAAATAAAAACTAAATACAATAAATTTTGTTATCACATATAAAATCTACATTTATTTAATATTAGAAATCAAATAATTTTATAATAATATTGCACTGTAAAATTGTAAAATTTTTGAATAAATAAGAGATAAGACTAAAATTGTTCATTTACAAATATTACTCATATACACATATAATTTATTTTATAATTAAAACGAGTTGTTTATGGGAATAAACTTGTTAGCGAACACAGAAACGCATTTTAATTGTATAATAATTAATTAAACGCAAAAACTATAAAATTAATTCGTACGACTCTTTATCCAAGGAATATAAGAAGCAACTCGAGTGTAAACACCAGGAAACCCAGGCCTAGCACATTCATAGCCATAAGAAACTATACCAAGTAAATAATATTTATAAATAACACCCTATGGTGTCCTCTTTGAAAATATTTAAAAAAAATATATAAAATTATAAGTATTATTTGTATACATATTATATATATTTTAGGTCTGTACCTGTGGCATCATAGAGGGCCAACCAGAATTCACCCTGGCAACGATCAACATTTGAATTGCCAGCACAAATTAACTGGAAACAGTGTAATATGTAAAATAATATTATAGCAAAAAAATATTTTAATATTTATTGTATTATTATTTATACACTACTCTACTATAGAAATATTTATACTAAGATTAAATACATATAGTAAGTAAAATACATAAACCATACTCGTTTAAAGATATGACATAAGTTAAAACATATTGGGTAGCTTCTAATACATTTACATTGTAGATGGAGCATTTTATATTTATATGACTATTTAAATACAATATGGAGCCTTAGCTTTAAACACCTAACATCATACATTATGTTCAATGCTTCCTTACAAGATAAATTCATTCTACAATGTTGCCAGGATTTTTGTATTACCTTAAGTACTAATAACCGGCTTTTTGTCACATTTGTTGGTTTTTCCAATTTTTTTTCTAAGCATATTGATCTGTTTCTGTATAACTTTTGTACTCGGTTCATACTCGTATTTGAATTTATATCTAAGCCGACCCAATAGTTTAAGAATTTTGACCAGAATAAATTTTTTTCGATAGTCTTATTTGTTAGTTTTTGAGATAGTATAGTTTGGTACAAAATCAAAATAAAACTTTCAAATACTACATATATTAAAATGTGAATTGAATATATAAAAATGCCCACTAGCTAACCCTATTTCTAACTTTATTTGCAGTCACAAGGTAGTCTTTATATTTATATCTATACAATGTGTCTACAACTTAGAACATATCGAAATTCCAAATTCGAGTAGATTAACTTTTAATAGCTCTGTATATATGTATATATCTATATGTATATATGTACAGTAGTATGCATCTCTTACTTTTAGCGACATGGGTATTTAATGATATTTTTAAAGATCAGTTTAAGAATGAAGCTTATTCTAAAATAATAGTGTACTAAGATAATTCTTTTATCAGCCCCCTTGAGTATTCAGTTCTATCGGTTTGTAAAGTTTCACCGTTGCAAAACAACTTTATTAGAATACGTTTATTAGGCTATATGATGAGATATACTAATATGATGAGATAGTGGCAGGACATTAGTGCAAAATCATAATATATTAACAGATATATTACATAAACACCTGTTCTACAATTCTTCTGTTATGGGACAGAACCTCAAATATATATATAGTATAAATACTTATAGTATTAATTATTTATGAACTTCCCTATTACATATAGTTTTTAATTAAATTACTAAATTATATAATTTTGTTAATATTATATATCACATAATTATTAATAGTAAATTAATTAGATTTATCTTACCCTATCGCTAAAATTGATGAAATTGAAAACAGTTTTATAGGATTGTTCACAAATTTGTCTATTTACAATTGGTACTTGTGCATCGCGCAAGACATTTGACGTGGCGCCTTGATATTTGATTGAACCCCAACCAGCAATAAAAGGATTCATTCCTACAAAATCTTGCGTGAGGAAATTACTGCTCTCTGGCAAACAAATAGGGCCAATAAAATCTGTAATATATAAAATTATCTTAATAAAATTAGTTCACAAAAATATTTAAAAATTTTAAATCTATTTACTTGTATTTGGTGCTGGAGTACTAAGTTCAATCAACGCAATATCATTCGCTATAGATTTTAAATCAAAATTTTCATTAACGATTGTACGTTTTACTCGAAAGTCCATTGCATTCGCTTCAGCTGGATTTGTAAGATCATGCGCACCCAAACGTACAAGTGCTA